AAACTTTAACCACAGAGTGAATGTGTTGTTTCCTGGCAGAAAATCTAAGTCCATTTAAAAGTAAAATACGGAAAAAATAGATTTATTTTTTTACAAAATTTCCTTCTAGATACTAGCTTTTGATCATAAACAAGCTTCTGTCCAAGTTTGGTACAAACCCAGGATAGTTTAAGAAAGTTATTAAAATTTTAAAAACTTTAACCACAGAGTGAATGTAATATTTCCCGGCAGAAAAACTAAGTCCATTTATAAGTAAAATACGGAAAAAATGGAATTTTATTTTTACAATATTTACTTCTGGATACTATCTTATGATCATAAACAAGCTTCTGTCCAAGTTTGGTAGAAATCCAGGATAGTTTAAGAAAGTTATTAAAATTTCAAAAACTTTAACCACAGAGTGAATATTTGTGGACGCCGCCGCCGACGACGACGACGACGACGACGACGCCGACGGAATGTAGGATCGCTATGTCTCGCTTTTTCGACTAAAGTCGAAGGCTCGACAAAAATCAGATATCTGATTTGACTGATAATTTCAGGGCAGGTAGAACTTGACCTAATGAATACTTTTTTCCTGTCTGATTTGTTCTAAATGCTTTAGTTTTTGAGATATAAGTCAAAAACTGTATTTTACCCTTGTTCTATTTTTTTGCCTTGGCGTCCATGTTTTCTGAGGAGACAGAAAATAAAACACAAACTTTATTCTAGATAACCTAAGAATCATTCGGCTAAAGTTTGTTTTAATTTGGTTCGGTAGTTTCAGAGGAGAAGATTTTTTAAAGTTAGAAAACATGATAAGCAAATTGTGTAAAATTGTCTTTGAGGGGCAAAAACTCCTTAAGGGGTCAATTGACAATATTGGTCATCTTAAACTTATTTGTAGATCTTACTTTGCTGAACATTTTTGCAGTTTACATTTTATCTTTATCTATAATAATATTCAAGATACTGTAAATTCAGAAATTATTGTGTACATTTATTATTGCAATTGTTAAAAAATGGACATACATGCGAGTTTAATTATTGCGATTTCAGGAAAATCTGCATAAGATATATGTTTCAGATATCAAAATGCGAGTTCATATAATTGCAATACTCACCCAGTCGCATTATTCGCATTAATAAAAACCTCGCAATAATTTCTGAATTTACAGTAATAACCAAAAACTGCAAAATTTCCTTTAAATTACCAATTTAGTGGCAGCAACCCAACAATGGGTTGTTAGATTCATCTGAAAATTTGAGGGCTGATAGAACTTGACCTAATGAACATTTTTACCCCATGTCAGATTTGCTCTAAATGCTTTAGTTTTTGAAATATAAGCCAAAAACTGTATTTTACCCCTTTGTTCTAATTTTAGCCATGGAGGCCATGTTTTTGACGAAACAGAAAATTAAACACAAAATTTATTCTAGATACCCTAAGGATCATTCAGCTTTAGTTTGGTTGGAATTGGTTCTGTAGTTTCAGAGGAGAAGATCTTTGAAATAGTTTACATCGGACAGACGACAGATGAGGGACGACGACGGACGCCAAGTGATGGCAAAAGCCCACCGTTCCAAAGGTGAGCTAAAAAGTAATTAGACTTTCACAAAAAATGTAAGAAAAGAAAACGTTTTAAGGGCAATAACTCCTTAAGGGGTGAATTGACTATTTTGATCATGTTGAGTTATTTGTAGATCTTACTTAGCTGAACATTTATTGCCATTTATACTTTCTCTCTATCTATTATAATATTAAAGAAAATAACCAAAAACAGCAAAATTTAATAAAAATAAATTATTTCCAACAGTAACCCAACAATGGATTTTTCGAACTTGTCTGAAAATTTCATAACAGATAGATTATGACCCATTTATCACTTTCACTCCCTTTCACTTTTGCTGTAACTGCTGTAGTTTTTGAGATATAAGCCAAAAACTGCTTTTGTCCCCTTTGTTCTATGGCGGCAATGTTTGTTAATGGATCAAAACTTCAGATACGATTTATAAACCAGTTACCCTAAGAAACATTCAGTTAAAGTTTAGAAGTATTAGGCCCAGTAGTTTCAGAGGAAAAGATTTTTAAATGTAAGCAAACATGATGAACAAATTGTGTAAAATTGTCTTTAAAGGGCAATAACTCCTTTAGGTGTCAATTGACATTTTTTTGTAGATCTTACTTTGCTGAACATTTTTGCTGTTTACAGTTTACTTTTATCTTCAATAATATTCAAGATAATAACCAAAAACTGCAAAATTTCCTTAAAATTACCAATTTAGTGGCAGCAACCCAACAATGGGTTGTTCGGTTCGTCTGAAAATTTCAGGGCTAATAGATCTCGACCTATTGAACATTTTAACCCCTATCACATTTGCTCTAAATGCTCTAGTTTTTGAGATATAAGCCAAAAACTGCATTCGACCTCTTTGTTCTATTTTTAGCCATGGCGGCCATGTTTGTTAATGGATCAAAACTTTGGATGCAATTTATAAACCAGTTACCCTAAGGAACATTCAGTTAAAGTTTAGAAGTATTAGGCCCAGTAGTTTCAGAGAAGAAGATTTTTAAATGTTAGCAAACATGATGAACAAATTGTGAAAAATTGTCTTTAAAGGGCAATAACTACTTAAGGGATCATTTGACAATTTTGGTCATATTAACTTTTTTGTAGATCTTACTTTGCTGAACAATTTTGCACATTACAGTTTATCTTTATCTTCAATAATATTCAAGATAACCAAAAACTGCAAAATTTCCTTAAAATTACCAATTTAGTGACAGCAACCCAACAATGGGTTGTTAAATTCATCTGAAAATTTCAGGGCTGATAGATCTTGACCTATTTAACATTTTTATCCATGTCAGATTTGCTCTAAATGCTTTAGTTTTTGAGATATAAGCCAAAAACTGCATTTGACCCCTATGTCCTATTTTTAGCCATGGTGGCCATGTTTGTTGATGGATCAAAACTTTGGATACAATTTATAAACTAGATACCCTAAGGAACATTCATTTAAAGTTTTGAAGTATTTGGCCCAGTAGTTTCAGAGAAGATTCTTGATATAGTTTATGACGACGACAGACAAAGACGGATGCTAAGTGATGGCACAAGCTCACATGAAAGGGCCCCGTGCGCTAAAAAGGACTAAAGTATGACGCAAATTAGAATAGTGTAAGATTGTAGTTGTCGGATTTCACCAAACCATCCTAGTTTGAATGTCTGTCTCATGAACACCCTGCTAATACTGAATGATTAAACGAAAATTTTATTTCGATTTGACTCAACCGTTATGCCATAACAACAATCTTTTCTACATGTTGGGACTACATGAAGACGACAGGTATGTCCCTTGTTTTCTATGGCTAAGCAATCCATCAGATCCTGATAGCCACTAGATAGAATACAGATTTAAAGCTGTACTATTTGGAGCAACTTGCTCACCTTTCATTCTGAATGCCACTTTATTAAAACATTTACAGCAAACTGAGAATACGAGGAGGAAAATATAAGAAAGGGACCTGCATGTTGACAACATATTGTCTAGCTTAAATACAGAAGATGACACCATTTTTTATTTCCAAGAAGATCCTACAATAATGAAAACAAAGCTGGATTTGATTTAAGATCATGGACTTCAAATAGTGATAGGGTATGTACGTTAGCCATGTTAGCAGCAACAGAGAACGTATTGGATACAGATGAAGAAACAAAGATTTTAGGAATGCGATGGAACAGCGTAACAGGTGAACTTTTTTTTTATCTAAAACGAGAAATTCTTACTTCTTCACAAATAGTCACAAAGCTTGAAATTTTGTAACATTCGTCACAAATTTATGACCCTCTTGGACCATCAAGTCCAGTTACAATTAGAAGTTCTAAGAACTAAAATACTGTTACAAGAAATATGGAAAAGAGGATTTGACTGGGACCAAATAGCTGATGAAGACATATGTATATCATGGATGGATCTTGCCTAAGACATTGATACATGTATATATATATATATATCACATAATAGATATGTTTAACAAATATAAAAATTGTAAACTTACCTTTGAGATTCAGTTAATTGAAAAAATGATGTCAAGGTCAGTTGACCACTTTGAGATAAGACATCAACATAAAACAATGAATTAATAGACCAAATGCAGTTGACCTATCACTTTATACTTAAACAGAATGTGTCAAGAATAAAGAATATGAGGTAAAGAACAGATGAATCCATTTGGTCCTGATTTGGACAACCTAACAATGATATAATTTGCATATTACTATTAGTTCAAAAATGTAACTGATAAACTCATCATAGATACTAGGATTAAATTTTTGGTACGCCAGACAAGCGTTTCGTCTACAAAACTCTCATCAGTGATGCTTGAATCAAAGAAGTTAAAAAGGTCAAATAAAGTACAAAGTTGAAGAGCATTGAGGACCCAAAATTCCAAAATATCTTGCCAAAAGTAGCTAAGGTAATCTATTCCTGGGGTAAAAAATCCTTAGTATTTTGAAAAAAATCAAAGTTTTGAACAGTTTATTTATAATTATGACCATACTAATGTAATTCATGTCAATACAGAAGTGCTACTGGGCTGGTGATAAGTACCCTAAACTTGAAAACTAATGTGATCAATGGACCATAAAAAAATTGGTCCAATAGAACCCAAAATACCTGAAGAATTGGAAGTATAATAAATCAACATGAAGAAAAGGTAATTTGGGGCTATATGTCAATTAGACAGCAACTCAACAATAAAAAAAATATAGAAGCAGACACCTCAAGAACTTTATTCTAATGATAAAAAGTACAGTATTTTAATTTAACTAGAGCAGTTTGCAAAGCAGGACTAATACCCCTAATACATGCATTTTAGGTGCTGCTTGAGGGGCAGACAGGAATAAATTTTGAAAATTAACATTAATTAGTGAACATGGTTAACATGATATGCCCAGCCACTGAATAGCCCTAAGTTTTATTGTGTAAAGAAACCACCAGAAAAACAATGCAACACAAGCTCTTCTATATGCACAACATACAGTTTTATTATAAAATATTATTGTAAAGAAACAGTAACAATGTGAATTAGCGATGAGGATAACCTCCCCTTTGTCTGCCGCTGCCTGAACCTGAGAAGCCTCGCTCATCTCTATTATCTCTTCCACCTCTATGTCCTCCTCTGTCCCCTCTACCTGCACCTCTAGGGTTAGAAGACCCCCTGCCTCTGAAAGATTGTCCTCCTCTGCCTCCACGGCCAGAAGCTGATGGGTCTTTTGGGGTTGGTGACTTCGGTCTTAATCTTTCAATTTCTTCAGAACATCCTGTTGTTAAATTACCTTGTTCAAAATAATTCATATAAATATCTCTATCAAAGTTACTGCTTGTTAATTCATCACCGAGTGCCAGCCATCCTGGTCGAATTGTGTCATCTCTTCCAAATAAATGTAAACGTCGCCTTCCAAGGCAGAAATGTTCCATCATATGAAAGATTTCTACAGGTTTCTGCTTGCTTCCATATTCCTTTTCTTCTTCAATAATAAGATCAATATCAACATTTGCATGAATAAAATCTCCATCAGTGCTACGTTTGACTGTGCCTTTGATTCCCATCAGACAGTGTTCCTACAACAGACAAAAACAAATTAAGTTTCTATTTAATTTTTTTGCCAAAGCAAGCACATCTGTGACATGCCTACCAGGTAATTAATTTTTAATGGTTGACCTAAAAGTTATTCAAATTAAAGTCATTTGCTTTATCGTATAATGAAGTTTTCCATTGTTATGTAAAGAAAACATGGCCAGCAAAAGAAATGAATGAATAAAATACTAGTAACTATTTCGACAAAATATAATCGAGAGGAGAAACAGGCAATAAGAATCTGCAACTGAAAGATTCTGAAGCTACATGTAATAGAGGAACACAACAAAAAACAAATATTTAGAGTTTTAAATAAATTTCATCCTTGATAAACTTAGTTACATCTAGTTTCTATCAAATACAAAAACAATGACAATGTAGTAAAAATGTCCAGTATACATGGTATACAAAATATAGCCAAGCATTATTTGTAGGTTTCTCTATGTTCATGTCTACTAGAATGGCTATTAATTGCATAATCAAATATCTTTACATTATAATTGATAATTATAGATAATCATATGGATATAAACTGATTTTTGATACAATTCAGAACTAGTGATTTTGTATTAAGGATAGATTAAATAAATGGGGAATGTGTCCACAGATGATGCCCCCGCTTGCATATCATATAAAGTTATAAAGGGACATAACTGAAGAACGATAAAAGTGACGCTACCCAAATTTGTACTTGATCTGAGTTTTGTGGTAATAGGTATTGTGTTTAAGTTAAGATCATCAGGACAGTACAACCAGTATCCAACCATAGGGATAGAAAAAAAGATCATCAGGAGAGTACAACCAGTATCCAACCATAGGGATAGAATAAAAGATCATCAGGACAGTACAACCAGTATCCAACCATAGGGATAGGAAAAAAGATCATCAGGAGAGTACAACTAGTATCCAACCATAGGGATAGAAACAAAGATCATCAGGAGAGTAAAACCAGTATCCTACCATCAGGATAAGAAACAATTGGTTAGACAAGTTTAACAGTACTAACCATTGGGATTGAAATAAAGATCAGAAAAATAATATGAGTACCTCACCTTAAGGGATTTTTGTCACAGATAATACAATAACATGTAGCTTACTTTTGTTCTTTGAAATATAGAACCAGGTTCCAGCGCTTTACTTCTGGATGGGTTGTTTATGTTTGTCTTTATCCAACATATGTCTTCACATCTTCTGAAACCCCATCTTTTTAGACACTGAAAATGCAAAAGAAAAAGATGAAAATAATGATGCTTAAAAAATGCAAAACCATCTAAAAGCGGATCAACAAAACGACTGCTGTAGGCAAATTTTTATTATGTTTGTACATCTCTTATACCCTGAAAATTTTCTGTATCATTCAACAATATCAGGGAAAATGTCCATTTCATGTTAAAGCAGTACAAATTTTCAACAACACTCTTCATCTTGAGTTTGCCAAGTATCCATTCTAGTTCTTACAAATCATATAGTTTATTCTTTCCTTATTTCAATTACCATTATTCAGATCTCTATAGACTTAAGTGTAATTTTTTTTTGTATAACAGAAAGGGTACTACAAGGATGACTAACAAAATGATACCCTTTGTCCCAACATGAAGCAATGGCAAAGTCAATGATTTGCTGAGGGAAATCTTGATGATAATTCTGATAAAAAAACTGGAGGTGCATAAGGGCATTATATGGTGAAGATTCTGATTTAAGTTTCATTAAATTCCACTTAAGAGTTTAGGAGAAGCAGATACAAATGTGTACTGTAGTGTGCAGATATAAAGAGGTCCATGCAATGTGGAAGTTAATCCAAAAATCTTTAGATTGATTGTTGGTGTTTTAACAGTTTTTATTAGTGGAGGAAGCCGGAGTGCCTGGAGAAAACCACCGACATTCAATAGAACTGAAAATCCTAGTCAATTAAAATTGGAGTCGAGTGCACCTGCACGAGCAGGGTTCAAACCAAAAATCTTTTGAATGAAGAAATGAAATAGATGTTAAAGGACATCATATTAATAAGAATGTATGAAAATATCACGAATTTCTGTTGAGCAGTTCAGAAGCAGATACTAAGGTAGGACAGAAGGGGACAGACAGATACCCCCATCCCCATATACTGTCCACTTAAAAAAGCAGGGCTTTAATAATTAAATCTTACATTTCTTCCCCTTTCTAATCCATCAGCATTTCCACACCAAATCCACATAAATGACCTCTGGGCAGCAACAGCTGGAATATCTAACCTTTCTATCTAGTTTTTTGGGAAATAAACAGAAAATATTGATTAATGAAGTATTTTTTTAAACTGGTAGATAATTATACCATACAATTAAAGATTGCAGATTCCGTGTGTTCAATTGATTTTGCATTAACTAATTCTCAAGTTTGTTATATGAACAATGCTTGATAAAGCCATAATCTGTACTTAACTGAATGACTAAGTGTTGGTTATCATAGTTAAAAAAAGGTTAAATCTATGTGTTTTTGTTGCATGACAAGGCCTTTTAAATTGTCCATGTTGTTTTAAACATTTACAAGTATCAAATGTTTTTTAAATTTAATCTTTATCAATTAGTAAAGGTTACCTCATCCCAGTTCCAGTATTTATCATATACAGCTCCATTAGCAATATTGTAATGTTTCAATGGCGGCTCTATCAATATAACATCAAATTTCATTCCTAAATCCATCAAGTCAAACTGCTCAAGATCACACTTAAGATACCTGTAGAAAAAATATCAAAATGAAATTTCAAATTCATTTCTTTATAATTTCAAGTATTCTTTTGTTTTTCATGTTAAACAATGATATTATATTTTGCCCCAAATTGAAATGAAGCTTCTCTCTGTAAAAATTGAAGTAAAATCTAGAGAATTTTTTTTAATAAGAATACAATTTTACTAAGATTACTATGCTGTTTTCCCCCAAAGCTGTGAAACTGGAATACAATTGTATGGTCAGCAGACGGCTGTAGAACAGCAACACAGATTACCCTTTAAATGTCTTGGTAATTCTCTGCATTTCAATGGAAATGAAAGATAATGAGAAGTGGTGGGGAAAAAAACAAATTATCACAAACAATTTTGCAGTTATCTTATCTAGGACTATGTAATCAGATGACCTGTTATTAGAATGATAGTGATAATTCACAGGGTGTCGTGGTGTTATGGTGTTACAATAGTAAAAAATTGTCTAACTCAATTAACTTTCGTAAAAATTGTCAAATAAAAATGATGGTACAGTATGGTAAAGAGAATATGATAACAAATAATCCTTCTTAGTGTTATGATATTGTAACTATCATCGTATCTATTTAGTTGGCCTATTTTGTTTTGTGTGGCCTATTATATAATTTTACATTGTGTACAAAATAATACACATTGTGTTACAACTATGCAGTTTAGAAATCACTGGAACAATCATAGATACTCATGGAATGATTAGAACTTTCTATTTAACTTACATAATGTTTCCAATGATCATAACAAAAGATGCATAATTAAAACATCTACAGTTATCTAGAACTTTCCGTTACAAGTATTTAAATGCAGACCCTTAAGTTAGACACAGACATAGATATAGACATAGGCATCGATAGACATCAACATTCTCAACAGTTGGATTGACACTTTTTATTTACAAACTACATCATACTAGATTGTGACCTATTGGACGTAATATTCTCTGTGGATTCTGAGAAGATTTCCGGATAAAGAAAAGATAAAAGATTGGACTCATATTTTGACAGTTAAGTTGACATTACTATTTGTGTAATACTTCTTGTAAAATTGTGTATAATAAATCTTGTTAAATTTTATTATTGATTTGTGTCTTTTGTTGGCTACAATTAAAATTCGATTTTCTGGTCGTAACATTAGTATGAAAGCTTTCTGGAAAAGGGTCTCCAGAACAGGAAGTTGCTTTTTTTATTTGAACTGCTTCACATTTTGTCATGTTGGAGCCTTTTATAGCTGACTGTATGGTATGGGTTTTGCTCAAGGTTTGAAAGCCGTACATAGATCTATAATTGCTTAAATCAGCTTTATTTGGACTTTAATGGATATTTGTCTCATTGGCAATCATACCACATCTCCCTAAAGACTGACAGACATCTCCCTGCTCTTCAATGGACAACAACTGATACAAAGAATTGACAGTGAAGACAAACTTACATAGGTGGTATATTCGTTGTCTGTATAAGCTCATCTTTCAATTTTATCAACTCTCTCAACTTTGGATATTCTTCAAATCTGTTTGCCAAGCCTAAATATAGTTATAGAATATCTAAATATCAATTCATAATGAAATATTTTTGTGTATAATATATATTTAAACATAAGTACCCAGTATTTCATAGATGGTTCTCTTCCGTTTTTTTCTATCTCTTGTATGACAATCAGGGCCTTGAGCTATGGTCATATGAGCCAGAAATATGGTTATTTTTCACTTCTCAAGAGTGATACTTTTCTGGCATCACTGGGCAGTTTTCTGGATATGCATGTAGTGTCAAATTACCAAAATCAATACGGTTTGCAATATGACTTAGTGGGCACAGTGAAAGTTGTCTGATGACTCAAAGGTCAAAGACGTAAATCTCTGCTTTTAGCCCTTCAGCAAGCAATGTCCAATAAATTATAAATAATATTTTATTTAATGAATATGGTAAGAACTTTTATACAAGTTAACCTGCTGCAAGCTTTATAATGTACATGTTTTAGTGGCTTATTTATTAAACACCCTTTTTTACCCAAATATCACTTTTTTTGTTTTTATTTAGTTTGTATTTGTATTAAACAAGCCTGATCAATTTTTGTCTTTCATTGGCTATAAAACTTTAAAAGACAATATGGTGGAAGTTTCTGTATCCATATCATACTTTTTTTTAATCTAGTTTTTATTGACGATTTGTTTAATCAGTCCAACCTTGTAAAGTTAACAGACCATCAGGCACTGGAATAAGAGGGTTAGAATATTTTTTTATTTCACTACACTTGTTTCAATATACAAACAACCTTTTACTAGCAATAAGCTAAAATATTTTACCAGTTGATCAGTTTAAACAAATGAATTAAAACAGTAACTTGGTAAAACATATATAGCAAAGAGTGAAAGGACCAGCCTTTCTGATATGCATAGTAATATTTATTATATTTTCAAAGGTTGATTGATTGATTGATTGTTGTTTGCTAATGGTCCAGTGGCATATTTTCCAAGACATCAAATTGATAACACACAAGAATTTGTCTTATGGTTCAACAAATGGACATAGATTTTAAGATAATTTCAAGCTGTACAAAAATTTGAAAAATGAAATGCCCTATGCATTCCCAATTAGTGTTGCATGATTGAAGTTAGCATATACTGATATATGTTTAGTTTTCAACCTACCAACATCTCTTATAAAGTTTTGTGGTCTTTCACCAGTGTCTACAAAGTTTTGGCAGTAATCATTATGAGGATTAGCACTTTGTGTTCCCTGAAATAAGATAAATATGGGAAAATAAGACATAAATTTAAACAAATCAGACAATAAGGTCCCTTTTTTAAAAGTTTTATTAGTGATCAATCTTAAAATGATAGTAAAACTGAAAAAAATAGAGAACATGGTAATTTTTTTTTATCTTTTGGTTTGCAGACTACAGTGAATACATACATTGGTACAATGTTAATTATTAGTTGTAATTAGGTACTGTGAAATTACTTTTATTCGTGGTATCAATTTTCGTGGTTTCCTAATTTCGAGGATTTAAGTTTTTTGAAAGAAAAAAAAATTAGGTGAAGAATATGAAGCCATCTGAGATGAAAACTCGTGAAAATAATCATAGTAGTTTTATAATAATTTCTAGGACATTTCAAAATACGGTGTTTATTTTCACTTACTTGTTCATCTTTCATTACTGACAACATTCATCAAACTTTTAATAAGATAATTGCTTTTTGAAATAAACCGATTCATCTATTCTTACAAATGTTCTCGATTGAAGGAAATTGCAGAGTAATCATTTTAATTGTTGCACACGGGTAATCAGAAGTGATGACACTAATTAACCGGAGATTGTTTGATCAACAGATTAACGGTCACCAAAGGTGTTAATTGGACCATAACTTGTCCCTTAAAGAAAACGGTAACATAAAAAAAGCTACAAATGGAATTTGAATTTTCTTGAGAATTAAAAGGTTTAAAGTCGTACTGTTTAGGTTTTTTAAAGATTAAATGGACAGAATTCTGTCTGTAGTTGCATCTTTAGTTCATAGTGCGTTTGCTGATATTCGATGTAGTCAAACCTACGGTATTGGGGATCTTTCCATGTCCTGATTTGGACAACAGTTCTTATATTTCGTTGGACACTTTAATTCGTGGATAAAGCCATTGATGAAAAACCACGAAAATTGGTACCCCACGAATAAAAGTACTTTCACAGTAATATAGTAATGATATACCGACATAAGAGGTCTCTAAACACAGTAGCTCCAAATGGAACGTTTGTTATTGGAAGACATATTAATTATGTGAATCAGCGGAAAAAAATGTAGCATATAAAATATAGGATATTTGCCACAACACATAATTAACAGTGCCTGGTGATGATTCATAGCCTGACCCGTTTTGGTCCTTCACAGACCTTCTTCAGAGGCAGAATGATGGATTAATGGTTGCTCCCTATTTTTATAGATCCTGTATCCGGTGGAAAAGTTATCAAGTACCGGCAGATATCTTTACAGGACAAATTCTCCTTTCAGGTAAAATCCAGTGGAATTTTCCTTAGTTACGGTAAACTTTATTCAACTGATTTACATGTTACGGTAAACATTTAACTAAATGATATAACAAAGGGTGGCAATTAAATTAAAAGTACATGGAAGTCATGCAATTGTGATGTTTTGGATTATGATTTGCCAAAAATATCAAGTCTAATAATAGTGTTACATGGTAGTCATGCAGTCTTCATGTTTTAGCTTGTGATTTGCCAAAATATCAAGTCTAATAATAGTGTTACATGGTAGTCATGCAGTCTTGATGTTTTAGCTTGTGATTTGCCAAAATATCAAGTCTAATAATAGTGTTACATGGTAGTCATGCAGTCTTGATGTTTTAGCTTGTGATTTGCCAAAATATCAAGTCTAAACTATAACTTCTTCCCCCCCCAAAAAAAAAAACTTTGTTTTTTTTTGTGGGGGGAGTTTATAATTAGTGAAGCATTATTTATGCCTTCAATACTCCCTTTTAGAAATTAAGGGTAATTGTATATTAATCAACAGTGTTAAATAGTTCAAACACTTTGATTAATATACTTATAATAACTTATCTGCTGGATACCCGATCTAAATATAAATAGGGTGCAACCATTAATCCATCATTCTGCCTCTAAAGAAGGTCTGTGAAGGACCGAAACAGGTCAGGCTATGAATAATCACAAGACGCTGTTAATTATGTGTTTTGGCATATATCCTATATTAGTTAAAATTTGCTTAGAAGTACCTTTCAACATGTTCAATATTCAATAATAACTCTTGGACCAGTAATTTGTCTCTTTTGTCTTATGTGATTTGTATTTTCTGCTTCGGAGCACCTGAGATCACACCAAGTTTTTGGTGGGGTTCATGTTGCTCAGTCTTTAGTTTTCTATGTTGTGTTTTGTGGACTGTTGTTTGTCTGTTTGTCTTTTTCTTTTTTAGCCATGGTGCTATCAGTTTATTTTTTACTTATGATTTTGAATGTCCCTCTGGCCTCTCTTGTTCTTATGTTGTCCTTTTACATGACTGCACCTGGTTAGTTGAGGGTTGTTCATTGTTGAAGGCAGTACCGTCCCCTATAGTTGCTTAACTCCAAGTCATTTGAACACTTGTGGATAGTTTTCTAATTGGCAATCGTATCACTTCTCCTTTTTTTATATAATGTTAGAGATACTTGATGTTATAAAAGGTAAAAAATAATAAACAAAATATTTGATGTTAATCCAGATAAAGAAAGTCAGAAACTTTATACCTTAAGAAATGTGCTGGAGTCTGTGTATATTTCTTCAAGTTCTTCTTCAATGTCTTCCAACTGAAATAAGTTTAAAACATTTTATACACTTAACTCTATTAAATGAACAATGGAAATCAACTACAATACTTGTATATTTCATAAAACTTACCTTCATTGCTCAAGAATTTGCTCAAGAAGTCATGAAATTTGCATTCAAACTTTTTTTTCAAATTCAAGTGCATTGCATCAAATTAATGATTTCTGCATTATAAAATAAATGGAGAATGTGTCCATGGGACACAGATGATGCCCCCGCTTGCATATAAAGTTATAAAGGGACATAACTCAAGAACGGTAAAAGTGACGCCACCCAAATTCAAACTTGATCTCAGTTTTGTGGTAATAAGAATTGTGTATAAGTTTCATAACAGTTGGTTGAGGCAAACTTAAGTTAGAGACCGGAAACGAAAAAAATTCAGCAATTTTAACATTTGTAAAGGGTATAACCCTAGAAGGATAAAAGTGACATCACCAAAATTCAAACTTGATCTGTGTTTTGTGGTAATAAGCATTGTGTACAAGGTTTATAACATTTGGTTGAGACAAACTAAAGTCAGAGAATGGAAACCAATTTCGTGACATACGTATGTATGGACGTACAGACGGACAAGGGTAACACTTAATGACCCTTCTGCTGCGACAAGGGCATAATAAATTGCTTCGCCTAGCGCAGCTGGATACAACCACAGAGGTCCTACCTGAACAGTTGGGAAAAAATGGACACAATATTCGCGCTTGATACAGGTCTGAATTTGGATTGTAATTAAATATTTGACACATAATGGGTTTCTGACACAGAATAACTGTAGTCAAAGAACTTAGAATTGGTTATATGATTTGAATTTATATTCAATTTTTTGCTTTTGTGCAATACACTATGCTGTTGCGTATTGACCCCCCACCACCACCACTTTTTTTTTGCCAAAAAAATAATATTAGAAGAATTTTTCTTTTTAATTTCTGAAATCTAAAATGAGAAAAAATTGACCCCCCCACAATTTTTTTTTTCACCTCCCCCTCCCCCCCCCCCTTTTTTTCCCAAAAAAATTTCTTTCCCTCAAGATATGGTCATAATTTCAATTCAAATTTCCAATGGAGTTTGCAACCATAATTACCCATTTAAATACATCTTAAAAGTCTTAAAATAGAAAATGACATACATAATCATGGCTAAAATTAATATTCCTTAATAGTAACTTCTAAAAATAAATTGACAGCTAATCATCTCAAGACCATACAACATTTCTTTATACATAATTTAAAAGCAGTGTAAGGGAGGTAATCAAAACGTTTTGTTTGGATTACCTCCCTTACACTGCTTTTAAATTGTCTTAAGTAATTGTCCATTAACCAGGAAACCCTTGTTTTTCCCCCTTCTTTGCCCCTAATTCCTAAACGGTTTGAGCCATAACCCCCCTAGGCAAATCCTAACCATCCCTTTGTGGTATGGAAATTTGTGGTATAATTTCATAGAGATCCATACACCGTTCCACAAGTTATTGTCTGGAAACTAGAAAAATGCTTCTTTGGGCCCCTTTTTGGCCCCTAATTCCCAAACTGTTAGGACCATAACCCCCAAAATCAATCCCAATCTTCCTTTTGTGGTTATAAAACTTGTATTAAAATTTCATAGATTTCTATTTAATTATACTAAAGTTATTGTCCGGAAACCAACTGTCTTCGGACGATGCTGACGACGACGTGATACCAATATACGACCGCAAATTTTTTGCGGTCGTATAAAAATTCCATGATATACTTTGGTAATTGATTTGTTACAATATATAATGGAGTATAAATACATTCATGTAATACTAAATTTTGTTGCATCTTCTAAGGAAAAAAATAGTATACTCAAGATCTGCTTTTACTTTTATACATCATAATATTAAATTTACCATGAATACAAACCTGAGAATAGGCTGTACAACAAAACTGTGAAATGCTTTGCTTTGTTACTTTGGTCCTCATGAAAAGCTCAATATTGGGTAAAATTTACAAATATTTTTATATTTTTATGAATAACCATATACTGTGAATCATTTATTTTTGTAGGTACCAATTATTGTGGATTGAGGAAAAATTGTATTCTGTGGATATTTGATTTTGTGGTTTTGGCTAAGTCTAAATTAAAATTTGTGGTTCACCTATTCCCTGAAAATCGAAATCAACAAATATTGGTTTCCCAGAAATAATAATTAATCCACAGTATTTAAAAAGTGCAACTTACAAAATATGTAGACAAGGGGCATAACTCTATATAGTTTACTTCCAAGTATGTGATGAAAATATACAAATATTAACTAAGGATGAGGCAACAATAGTTAATTAAAGTATTATTGGAATATTTAAATAAATCTTGACGGTGCCAAAATAACAAGGGACAAGCGGATAGCGAAACACCCTCTGAAAATGGTCCAACTAGAACATTGCTTATAAAACACAAGAGGAATATAAACCTCTTGAACTTGCTGCTTTATCATTATGGTCAAATTATTTTTACCTCTTCTTTTCTCCTCTTAAAAGATTTTCTGTCATCTGTATTATCTGATTTCTTTACAGCCTCATCACTCAGTTGGTTCTCAACGATCAAAGCTGGGGCTCCCCTGTAGGAAAGTTATAAATTTATATAGTTATAAGGTGTATAGTATCTAAATGCATTAATCTTGTACCATACTATCTATCTTAATATATATTCTGATTTTAAGACAGCCTCTTATTGCCTAAGCAGCTGGAAATGCTTCAATTGCATAAAGGTGTACAATTGTTTACTCCTCTCCATCATTTACATTACAGTTGCATCTAAAACCTATTGAAAATGTTTGGTGCTTGCATTCTCAAACTTTTCATTAGCAAGGAACATTAGAGGACAAAACATTAATTATTTCTGTAATAAAAGCTTCTTGTGCACATGTACATTGGCAAATAATCATGTTATTCTTAGTATACCTTCTATAAATAGATACCATTGCATGTACTAGTTATTTTTTAAAATATCCTATGAAAATTCAATAGAAATTACTTTCCCATAAAAAGTTTGACTTTTATATCACAAGTAATAGCAATGGACTTCTTTTATTTATATTATCATATAGAAGAAATTTAATTTAAAAAAAACATTTATATTCTAAGTTAAGCATCTATAGCAATAACTTTTTTAGAAAAATATTTTAGATTATTACCATCTGAAACATATTACCAGGCCTAATAATCATGCTTTTTGCATTTTTTGTCTTTAGTTTAATTTAAAATTAACAACTCATTAACCTTTAAAATCACCTCTCTTTTTTTTTTCCAATCCTTTTTGACAGTTATTCACGTAAAATTAATTTTATGTCTACATAAAAAAAATATCACATGTTCATATTCATGCTAATTTAAAGCCTATCTTGGTGTTGGAAGGTATTTAAAAAAAATAATAACACTACAATATGAAATGTAAACAAAGTAATATCTATAATAAAACACATAAGTGGATGGACATCCAATGTTAAGGACCAAATCAAATTAAGAATGTGCACAAATTAAATGCTAGTTCAAAAGGTAACAAACAGTCTGTAGAAAGACATGACTACACTTTAAGCAGATTCATCTTTGCTTTTCAGAATTTTTGGATTTTAATGCTCTTCAACTTCAACTATTTGATTCAGCCTTGCAACTGTTTTGAATTGAGCAACACTGGTGAGTCTTATGTCTTATATCCTAAATGCTGCAATATAAGCAAAAAAGAGGTAAATACCAATACCAGTCTTTGGTTGGTCCTCCATAGGATAAGATCCTCACAGTCCTGTACTGATGGTCAGCACACTATCGTGACCAACCAGGAAACACAAGGAAATTAGTCTGTACAGAGCATTTTTATATTGGTTGATTTTACTTTTTGAATTGTTTCACATTTTGCCATGTTGGGCCTATTATAGGTGAATATACAATATTGGTTATGCTCATTGTTGAAGGCTCTACAGAGTGACCTAAAGTTGCTCAAATCAACTTCATTTGGACTCTGTTGGATAAGTGTCTCATTGGCAATCATACCACATCTCCTTATTTTATATTTATAATTCTTCAAGTATGTTTTTTTCATCAAAAATTAAGTACTGTAAAACTTGTCTCCAAATTTTCAAAGGGACTCAATGTCTTATTAACATTATGGACTATTACAATTTAAAAGGATATTTGAACTTTCATTTCATTTTTGAAATCTTGCATAAAAATAAGGGCATGTACTTCAGACTGAAAACCACATTTTTCATACCTCATACCGAATGTATCCCAATAACACTAAGAAAACTAGAGGCTCTCAAGAGCCTGTGTCGTTCACCTGTGTGGCTCACCTGTATCTACTGTGGTTTTGGAAATCATGTAAAATAAGATTAAAATCATATTAAGTAGTATTAGATACACAAATAATGATTGAGACCAGTTTGATTTAATTTGGCCCAGTAGTTAAATTAAAAGCAGGTCATCCCATTGTAGTCTTACAATAGTTACTGAAGACACCTTATCATTATTAAAATTAGTTTTCAAGTTGTGACCATTTGAAATTGTTTTTTTACAATTTTCCCATAGACTTCTATAGTAAACCCCTATGTTCTATTTTTAGCCATGGTGGCCATCTTGGTTGATGGACGGGGTCATCTGATACATTTTTTTAAACAAGATACCCTTAGGATGATATAGGCTAAGTTTGGTTTCATTTGGACCAGTAGTTTCAGAGAAGATTTTTGTAAAAGATTACAAAAATTTATGAAAAAATTGTGAAAAATTGACTTTAAAGGGCAATAATTCCTTATGGGGTCAATTGACAATTTTGTTCATGTTTGACTTATTTGTAGATCTTACTTTGCTGAACAATTTTGCTGTATACAGTTTATCTCTATCTATTATAATATTCAAGATAATAACCAAAAACTGCAAAATTTCCTTAAAATTACCAATTCAGGGGCAGCAACCCAACAACGGGTTGTCTGAATTGTCTGAAAATTTTAAGGCAGATGGATCTTCACCTTATGAACATTTTACCCTATGTCAGATTTGCTCTAAATGCTTTAGTTTCAAAGCTATAAGCCAAAAACTGCATTTGACCCCCATGTTCTATTTTTAGCCATGGCGGCCATCTTGGTTGATGGGCGGGGTCATAGGATACATTTTTTAAACTAGATACCCTAAGGATGATTTAGGCCAAGTTTAGTTCTATTTGGCCCAGTAGTTTCAGAGGAGACGACGGACGCCAAGTGATGAGAAAAGCTCACTTGGCCCTTTTGGGCCAGGTGAGCTAATAAGAAAGTAAAAATGTAAATAACAAACAAAACTGATAAATCAAGGGGATGTATCAAATGACTTATTATTTAAATGTTTAATAGTTCTGTATTATCAATTTCACATTAGGCATTGATTTTGACTGGTTGATCCAGTGATAAGGACATTTTGACACTCAGTGGTGCTACTTTAAACAAGTCATTTCTCCCAACATAACTTCTCACCTGTATTGTTTCCTCCTTTTCCTCCTGGAATCAGTACATATAATGCAAAGTAATATTTTCAAAATTTCACCGGATATATGTATTCAATATATTTTGCTCCATTTATTCAGCATTTTATGTTTTTTTTGTGTTTTCAGTGTTATATGTTTCACATTCATATCATACTCATATTTCATATTCATATTCCACTTGACAATTGACGGCAAATAAACTTATAAACAGACTATAGTTTTGTACTCTATGTTTGGATATAAGTACTGAATATTTAAATCACGGCATAAGTATTTAAATTAGTACTATAGAAAGTGAATTCGATACTATGTTAATATTTAAATGATATATATCTATATTCAAATGGCATGAGCTATGCATGAACTCAAAGCGTGGCAATACTAACCATATATAATACTAATAAGCACTTTTTAAGTTTAGTCACTGGTCAATATATATATCAGGAAGGGCGGATGATGAGAGTCGCCGCTACAGATACTTATAATTAAGTTTATTATTTGGATGACTCATTTACTATGCAGAAAATGGCCCACAATTAACACCACTTTGATTTAGTCTTTGTGGTTTGGTGACTTTGTATCTTCAACCAGTTGGCGATAGATTTGGTGTCCCATTTTTCCTGTGACAAAATTTATGCTTTAAAATCTTACCTAATGAAAAAAAAACTTTTAAGAAGAATAAAAGATGTGCCACTGTGGGGCATATATCATTCAATGAAACATCATTAAAACTAAACACATAAATCAAACAACGACAAGTCTCAATTTTTTGGCATACTGAAAAGTAATTCAATATTTGACTGTGAAAAACTAGACACTCTTACATAATTAAAGTGGTAAGTATATCTGAATAGGTAAGAAAAAAGTAAGTACTTTGAGAAGATTGCACAAATAAGTCCCAGCATTTTGGCAATGCCCCTCCTGCCTTCTACTCCATATACTCAGTCATGAAAACATCATGAAACAAAGCTATATCTGCCCCTCAAACTTTATTTATCTACATGTATAGCAATAGGTGTTAATCATACCCAGTTTTGCTAGGTTTCTCTTCATTAAGTATTTCATCTTTACTCTTCAGAACTTTCTTTAATCCATCAGGACTGTCAACACCAAACTAGAAAAAAAGGACGAACAAAATTTAATATAGAGTAACAGCTCAGTAAAATATACATGTAAATTTAAATATTTACCATTCTAACTGGTTGAGTCAAAGTTTACTTTTATAAATTTTACTTATTTTCTATACTGTCAGGGGCATTATTTCAACTAGTTGTTATCAAATTGATACAGATATTAAAGTAAATAATTTTGAGATTCAAGTCATTTTTACTCAATATAAGTACAATTACACTTCAGGAGTTCGATTTGTGTGTCTTGTATGCAAGTTCTGTGTGGATAATAATATCATGGCGGATGTAAAATATTCAAAAGGTAGATATGTAGATTCCACCACTGCATCAAGTGTGTTACAATATTTATCCACTCGAGACAGTTAAATTTTAATATTTGAAGCGCGAGGCTTAATAATTAAAATTAACTGTTGAGAGTGGGAAAATATTGTAATATAGTCCCGTTATAGTGGTGGAATCTGTTTCTCTAATGATTTTTAGACGATATCTAAACAAAGTTTAATTCATCCTTCCTTTTCAAAGATTTGCAGAAAGTTGTATTATTTATATGTGACGTCATCAGGCACGGTCACCTTTTTTCATGAAGTCACAATCATGACAATAGGAAATTCAGAAGAAACCAAGAAAATTTGACGTCATAATTAAAATTTGACCAATCATTTGCCAAGAACAAAGTTTACTCTAAAGACGAGAAATATTTTTCTCACACCAATCGAGAAATGTAAAAAAAGCATGAAAATTAGAGAAAACTCTTACCTAAATTCCAAATGATGTATTTTCTTTTCAAAATTCCATTATTAAAGAAACTCATCCTTTGGAACTTTTCACTCTTTTATTTGGATAGTTATCTACCCTTTGAAAAATTATGTCCGCCATATTGTTATGCAAGGAAGTTGTATACAAGACACATAAATCAAAGTCCTGAAGTGAAATTGTACTTTTATTCAGTAAAAATGACTTATATCTCAAACATATACTTTAATATCTATACACCTTATCGCTATTCCCGCTTGACCCGAGAATCTGTCCCACTCGAACTTTTGACGTCATACAACAATCACTTTTCCATTGTGGCGTCAGACATTTTCTATTATGACGTCAAAATTTAACCGGAACTTGTGTGATGTCCAGTAATGGCGGACAAATAGAGATAAGGTGTATTAAAGCAGTATAACACCATATGAAATAAAGTTTTCGGGTAATATCTATCGGTTCTTGTGTCAATATTCAGTTCTTGTGAGTTCTCGGGAACTGGGTTATCATGGTTATGTGGCTGAAACGTTTCATTGAATTATCTACTCTTACTGTGAGGTAATAACATTAGCATTGTGACATCAAAGTGTTTGTGAAAGTGATTTAATTTGAAAGTTGTATATGCAAAGTTATTGATGAGATTGTTAAGTTTCTGAACGTCAGGGGCAAATATTTCATATGTCATGTTTAGGACGATGCACAGAGCCACAGTTATTTATGATAACTTTTCAACAGAGAACATTCTACAAACATGACAAACATGTCAAAGGACAAGGATGTAAGCAACTCAAAATTTCATTTTAAAAACATTTGATTAAGAAGTCATTTACTGCTTGTGCAAGAAGCTGTTTTCTTTTCTGTGATCTTTCTCGCAACTCTTTCAACCTATCACCCATTTTCCGCGTACTTGCCGAGTTTCTGGTACCTAAATATACCAGTCAATTGTATTTTTACGACAACTACTTCGAACAAACGTAATTTATAGGAGTCAAAAGCGTTGTAATCTCTTTCTTCACTCAAAATGTATTCTTTTTCATACAAAAAGACATTGAATATAGTAAACAAATAATAAATTATCTGTTTACGCTTTACGTTTACATCTTAATACCAAAATTTAATTTCTTAAATCACGTGTAGCAACGTTCAATAAAAGAGACAACACTTTTGTTTGTCCAATATGCAATAATTTAATTTTGGATGTAACATGTCTTGATTAGCTGTAAGTTTTTTGTCTATCAGCTCATAGACATAATTGGGTCAATATCCCTAATGCTTGAGGAACACAAAAGTTGTGCGTAAACAAAAAATCTCTGTGTAGTGATAATTTAATGGACATGTTTCTATTTTTAACAAGTGACTGAGCTTAATCATTTGTTATGTGAATTGTATTATCTGGTTCTGTCCTGGCCTTTTATAGCATTTTTTAATAGTATTAAACGATGTTGCTCTCTTAGGAAGCAAGTTAACTCGTACCATTGTAAACTCGTACCACGTAAACTCGTACCAAAAAAGTTAACTCGTACCAACGTAAACTCGTACCACTGGGAAGTCGTACCAATCAGAACTCGTACCATTAAAAATATATTCAAAAATACGAATGTTTTATGATTTGTTTTTTGGTAAACTAAATAAAAAAAGTTGAATTACTTGAATTTTATACTAGATTTTAATGAAAACTTAGACAAAAATACGAATGTTTTATGATCTTTTTTTTTTAAGCTTTATACAAAAAATTAAAATATCTTTGAAATTTATACCAGATTTTAATGAAAACTTAGACAAAAATATGAATGTAATTTCTTAATTACCATGCTAATAAATATATTAAATTCCTTTGATTGTGCGATTATTAACTAATCAACTTGTTTTTTTTATCTTTAACTAATCAACTTGTATAATCATATAAGCATGGTCATATTCTGTTGAAATGTGCTGAATATTGTATAAAAATAAATTTCATACTTTCTAACTGTTGGTCATAAACAATTTTAAACCTTTAAAACACAATCAATAAATTCTTTCATTAAATAAAATTCCTTTTAGAAACAATAGAAAAATACCCAAATCTATTCAATGTTACTGATTTGAAATGATTAAAAATTAAATCAAATAGTTGTCAGTAAAAGTTTAAAAAAGAGTCTATTCAAGGGAGACAACAAAGCCAATCTGCCACGGTTTTCTCTATCCAATTAGACAAGGAAAATTAGCTACAAATTGGTTATTGTAATTTCAAATTATATACATTTTACAGACTTAAGAGGTATTGAGTGAAATTAAAGTATATATTCATCATTAAACACCATTTTAATGCATTTAAATAAGTTGGTACGAGTTTACAATGGTATGAATTTACCGTGGTACGAGTTAGCAGTGGTACGAGTTTGCATTGGTACGAGTTTTTGTTTAGTGGTACGAGTTGACATTGGTACGAGTTTACAATGGTACGAGATAACTATAATTCCTTTCTTATATGTCTCTAATTTATGTCTAATCTTATGTACTTGTATGTAATGTGATGAAAGCTCTTGATAGGGCCCTTTAATTGGAATGAGAAACGTTTTTGAACATTAATATACATTAGAGAAGTTTTCTTGTTATACAAAACCTCATGTTTTTCAATAATTGGCACACTTTTTGTTCACCCGGCATATGATTACTCAAAATAAACTTTTTAGATTAGTTCAATTATTTAATTACAGATCGTATCCACCCGTTTAGCAATTGCTGTATCAGCCCTTGCATCTATTCCACTAGCCGAATTATTATGTGTGTTGGTAAAGTCTTGTGATCTCGATAAGGCTGTTTGGTGGTGGTTTTTTTTTCCTTGAGATTAACATTCACCATTTGCCTTTAACCAATTCTGAACGGGTTTTTTTAACAAACTTTCCGGGGTTGTCGTCAGTAGCGAACAAATCGCAAAATTTGCAGAAAAAGTTGAATAGACAATGCATGGGGACAAGTGCAGCCAAGCATATTTGAAGCATCTTTTTACCCCGTACATTTCTCGTTTATGAAAAGAAAAAGAACTAGGTAGATTCCAGTTTTAATTTAGAATGCTACACATTTGAGCACTAGGTACGGATGTGGAATAAAAGTTTGCAATATCCTTAGATTCAGCAGGTGTCATTTAAAAAAACAATCTTATGGATATGATAGGGTGAAAAAGTAATTTTCTTCAAATCAAGCTAACAGAAAACGTCGTTTTAATCATAAAACCAACAAAGTAATAAAATATAGGGATAGCAGCCTTAATTGGATTGTCTTAATCAAATCCTTTGATCCTCTAATTATCAAGTTCCCCTTAGGCCAATTTAATTATGACATGTGTTTATTTAAAGGAGTGTAGCGACAACGTGTCACCCTATTCAGTGCTGGATATTCAATTTATATTAAAGATAACATTAAAGCAAGAAATGATTAATACAAAAATTATTTTAAGATTTCCAAGCGGGTGGGTGGGGTGTTGCGAACCCACCCCAAACCCCCCTAAATCCGCTAGTGCAAAGTATTAAATTTTCAAAGAACTTATTGTGTGAAAAAAGGGATTTTTTACCACCAGCTAGGAGCCGCATCACGAAAGGATTTTCGGGGAGTACTAATTTACGAAAAAATGAATCACACTTCGTACCCAGTATTTAACCACATATGTGAAAATGTCTCAGCTTCGAAATGAGCCATCATGCATATCCAAGTTTACGATATGAACTGTGCTACAGAGGAAAACGTTACCATTACCGCCTATGCAAAATCAATTACGCATATTGTCCCAATTGGTCATGTGACCGTGATGTCATCAACGTTTTTTTAAATGATTTATTCCTTAAAAATGGAATTTAGAATTAAATTACAAGGAATGACTGTAACATTTTTGCTGTTTTTCGAAGTAACATCTAAAATGTTGTGCACACTTTTGAATAACCCGCTACGCGCGAAATTCAGTGTGCACCACATTTTTTATGTTATTTCTTCATAGACAGAAAAAAAAATATATGTCATTCCTTAATTAGCAGAGACATATATAAAGAATAAAAAATGGATCCCTGAAATAAATTTTACAGAAATTTTAGAACTTATCAAATCAATTGTATAGAAAATTTAATTTTGTCATCATTTTCGTCCATCGAACGTACATTCGACATCTCCGTATTATTTATAAGAAAATGAGATGTGGGTATCTGTCAGTCAACAACAATTTTTTTTTCTAACAATCAACATTCTAAAATTGTGTTGGGTAAGCCGATGAGGCATAACGTAGTCTTTTGAGAAGCGATCTACCTTATGTCATAACAGAGTGAAAGGAAAATCTAAAAAAAGTTTAACCACTTTTGATAAATCTAGAGGCAATGTACTAGTAACAACAAGTCAACAAGTATTTGAAGGTATCCTTCAAAATTCTACCTATTCACATGCTTTAATAGATCTAACACAGAAACATTCAAAGGATCTACAAAATTTTGAGTGTACCCGTAATCGTTTTCTTTAAAAATCATTTAAATAATAATTTTTACTGTGCAGATAATCTTGCAAATTTTTAAGGATATAGAGTAAAATCCGAAATTTTAAATGAAAAGATCCAGGTAAGTGTTTGTAAGATCAATTCCATGTAGCCTACATTTTTTCTTTTAATGTTTAAATGTTGGCAAGAAACTTGATGAGATTAAGCTTTCTGGTCTTAGGCTTAGATTATTGAAAAAAACACTTAAGGTCAAGTCACAGTAAATGGGCTATGTCACAGATTTTTTAAAATTGTGCATACAACTTTGACTCGTTGAACTTTAAACTGAAAATCGAAAATAAAAATAATGCATTTACCTCTTCTATTTTCTGAAATATTACTGATTGAATTCTTTTAAGATAGGTGAACAATTGTATAGAAACCACATAAATCGGCGAAAAACGTTCTTAAATTTGTCTTACAATCGTCAAATCTCCACTTTTAAATCCAAATTTTTTCTTAAAAACTAAATGTTGTTGGTATATAAATTTCCGTTTTAATGATGTAAAATGATATTAGGGTCTGTCGTCACTGACTTCGTTTTAGCGGTATACATCATTCAAAGAGATGAAAAAATACCGTTAAAACGTCGAATTTTCGTAACGCCATTGCGTTATATGCCGTAACTTGAAACGTCGATTTTGACGTTTTTCACTTCCAACTTGGTAACAGATGGTTAATACACCCAAAACATCATGTAAGTCACTTGTATTTGTTAAAATGTTTGGGAAATAAAACTATATTGGTTGGGATCCCGCTAACAGGTTTAACCCCGCCATATTCTGTATGTATGTGCCTGTCCCAAGTCAGGAGCCTGTAATTCAGTGGTTGTAGTTTGTTTATGTGTTACATATTTGTTTTTCGTTCATTTTTTGTACATAAATTAGGCCGTTAGTTTTCTCATTTGAATTGTTTTACATTGTCATTTCGGAACCTTTTATAGCTGACTGTGCGGTATGGGCTTTGCTCATTGTTGAAGGCCGTACGGTGATCTATAGTTGTTAATTTCTGTGTCATTTGGTATCTTGTGGAGAGTTGTCTCATTGGCAATAATACCACATCTTCTTTTTTATATATATCTATGGAATATAAAAAGAGGAGAAAACATATCTGTTTAAGGTTAAAATGAATAATATAGGCCTAATGTACCCTACAATAAATAGAGTTTGTATCCCAGCTTGTAGCTCAATCATTTTTTTTGTGCTTAGTTAACTTGTTTTTTTTTATGGCAAATCTTAATCGACCAAGAGTATTTTATTGTTTGCATGAGCAAATCATCCGCCTACCTATTATTTCCTACGTTAAATGACAGATAAGACTGAGTAAAATTATTCTACAAGTTATCTCCAACTAGTGAATTAGGAGTGTCAAGCTTACATTTGTGCATCTTTTCGTCAACATGCACCAAAAGAGCAAAATTAAGTTCATAAGCGTTTATACCGAAAAAATTGTCGGGCCT